AATGTAACCTAATGAGTTAAAACCTGCCCAAAGATTGTTGTCATACTGAGTAAGTATCATTTCCCAGAGGAGAGGGATTGACATTGAAAAGGTCTGTGTTTGTTTCTGTTAGAACGTAAGCTCCATGAGGTGAAGGCCTCTTACAAACACAGTATCTCTAGTATATAGAATCTCAGCTGCCACACAGTAAGGAATCAGTATTTGTTGAATGAATAAATGACTGAAATAGCTCTAGGATGAGAGGAATGTATCCTCTATAGCAGGATGGAAAATATTCTTTAGATGAAGCTTCCTGGGAGCTCACTTAGCGACCTTTGACCTTAGGGCTGGACTAGCTGGGAAGATCCTTCCTTGATAAAAGAAGGATTAACACACTTCTGGCCAGCTTGGTGTGGGTCAGTCATGTGATAAAAATATGTGTGTGATCCTAGAAGATTGAGAATCAGATTCTTTTTCCTAGTGATCACAACAAAGTGTATGATCTCCTATGGGCCAAGTGTGAGATGCCAAATAGCTGATCTTCCTGTTTGCCTTTGAGAGCTCATCTTCCACAGCAGATGTTACATAAATGAGTAGAAGCCACTGACCCGTTTCTGACTTTTATCTGAAAGATAAAGAGTCAGGACAGGGTATCCAAGGCCTTTGATGCTTTTAAGAAACATCAGATGTAATACTTCAGTGAAGAATAAAAAGCCAACAATTTAATTTAGGCTGAGTGAAGACAAAGATTTCGAAGGAATGGAAAATGGATAAGATCCAAAAGCCTATGACCAATATTTCACTTTACCTTTAAAAGAACAGGTGGAATGAGAAGCTTTGTGGTGAACTTGGTTTTTCTGTGAATTAATATTGCCAAGTTACTACCGCAAAAATAAGACTAGCACTTCACCTACTAGCTTTTCACTTTTCTCTGATACTATTGGGGAAAAGGAAACTCCCTACAGAGGAACCAGAAGATTTAGTAAAAAGGATTTTGAAGACCTGATAAAAGACACTCGATACCACATGCTGGGAATTTAAGCCAGATTTTATACAGTTTGTTGGTGGATACTCTTTTGGAGATGATAGGGTACCTCTTCCGAAATAGCTGTACTCCCTAGACTTTCATGAAGCATCTTTCAGTGTTCAGGGCGGCTGTTGGTTTAGTACCAGGATACAGCAGCAGTTATGAAGCGAATGTGAAATCCCTAGTGGTAAACAGAGTCCAACCAATGAAACCCCTTTATGGCATCCAATCCGAAGTGCAAGGATGACCATATAATTTATTGTCCAAACCACGACACTTCTGAGGTGGAAAGGGGAAACTATTTACAGTTATGTCAGAAAGTGAAAACGGGCTGTCCCCGGACTCAGTGACACTACCCAATGGAACCAGAAATGGAACTTGCGGCAACATCACCCGGAAGGCTATTAAAACACAGGTTACTGGACTCTACTCCCAAAGTTTTATATTCAGTAGCTTTGGGATCAAAATTGTGCCTGTCTGACAAATTCATTGGTGGTGGTATTACAGCTCATCTGGGGACTGCAGTTTCAGAACTACTGTTCTCCCTAGACCAGCTTGGCACTCTTATGCTGATGATGTAATTTTTAGTTGAAAGAAACTCTCCTTAGTGTTAAATCCTTCTCAACCTTCTACATGTGAGGATATCCATGAAGAAGATGACAAAAAAAAGTTGTATTGGATTTGCTTTGACCTATGTCTCTGTGGACTTGTTTATTCTCGATTTTCCAGAGACGGCTCTCCTGGTACCAACCCAACTCTCAAAAAAATGTTAAAACCAAATGAAATAAATGTGACGTTGGCTTCTTACCATAGGGATTTCAGCTTAGGGAAGCCTCAACACCTAAATTCATTCCAGAGACACTTTATAGGTTGAACATCCTTATGAGCAACAGTATCCCTGCACTCTTTCCTATTGCATCTGTAAAAGCAAGAACGGGGCAACAGCAGGTGTGCTGGAGCCTCCGAGAACACGCAGCCAGGGTTCCTGTTTCTGGCGCATCTGCTCACAGTGGTGCAGCCTGACCCAGAAATACAGCTTCAACATGAGCCAGCGGTGCTGACCATCAGTACTCGAAAGTATTGCTTTCGTCATGTTGAACTAAATGAACTTCCTGTAATTGCATCATCCAGAACTCCTTCCTTACTGCAGAAACAAAGCTAGCTCTTTGAACGTTGGAGGGGGGAAAAAAAGCAGCATACGCACAAAACCCTCAGTATTTCTCTTTTTTTCTTTTTCCCTCAGTATTTTTCAGTTCGGCAGTTGATTTTCAGAAGCATCTTAGATCTAATGGGAAATATTTTGACTCTGTTTCTCTTCCTTTTTTAATCAAGAATAATTGGAGGACAATACGGTGCCTTTTTTTCCCCCCTGATATCTCAGTTGGTAAAGAATCCGCCTGCAATTCAGGAGACCCCAGTTTTATTCCTGGGTCGGAAGATCTGCTGGAGAAGGGATAGGCTACCCACTCCAGTATTCTGGCCTGGAGAATTCCATGGACTGCATAGTCCACGGGGGTTGCAGAGAGTCGGACACGACTGAGTGACTTTCAGTTGGCTTTATAAGCATCTGTTCAGCATTCCCCCTCTCTTACTGACCTGGATTGAATTAGAAGCATGCTGATAGGTTTATTAGTAAGGCAGATGTGAGTGTGACTCACCGCAGATCAGTGGCTCTTGAAGTGTGGACCCCAGGTTGGCAGCGCTGCTGTCACCCGGTACTTTGTTCAGATGCAGGCTCTTAAACCCCACTCCCAACTTACGAGATGGAAACCTTGGGGTGTGGGGCCCAGGAACATGTGTTTCCACAAGCCCTCTGGGTAGTTCTGATGTGTAACAATGTTTGACAGGCACTGTTGTAAGTAAGTTTTTGGAGGGGGGGAATGCCTCGCTCTATGCAGGAACTTAGTTCCCTGACTAGGGATTGAACCCGTGCCCCCCTGGAGTGGAAGCTAGGAGTTTTAACCACTAGACTGCCAGGGAAGTTTCTATAAATGGTTCTACGTCATATCTATCTATTTTGGTCTACAAAGGTACTGAAATGTCTTAATTATGCTTTCCAATGGTCTGATATATAAATATGCACAAAGCAAATGTCTTTATAAGAATGGTGAAAGCAATGATGATGTTAACTAACATTTTCTGAACATTTTCTACATCACTATGTTGACGACTTTACAAGTAATGTCTGATTTTAATTCTGTGCTAATGCCATCACTGTTGTACAGATAGGGGAATGAGACTCAGGAGTGTGATAACTGGCCTCTTAGAGGGTGATTTCTTGGTATTTTGCTCCCTGGTATACTCTTAGCTGGTTAAATGTGCGTCTCCACTCCACGCTCACCCCCGCCCACCCCTGTTCTCCTGATTTTAAGAGACTTTTTCTACTCCTCTCTCCTTTACCCTGTTGTATCCTAGTTAAATATGTCAGGGATGATTATAACTTATTCTTTAGAATAATTTTTCTCTCCAGTATATGTGTGTAGCATTAGATGGAACATTGTCCTCCCCGGGGAATTAGAAATGCCATCCTACAAGTGCGTGACTGCGGATGAAAGTGTGAAGAGGATCGAAGGACACGCGTCAGTGAGGAGGGCTGGTGACTGGCGGGGAGGGTGGCAGGGCCAGGAGTGTAGCCGTGGGAATGCTGGGCGGCCTGAAAACCTGTAGGGGTCAGACGCCTGCCCCAGATGGAATGCCAGGCCCTTCCTTGTGCCCAGGGGCTCGGGCTCACTGGGAGACCAGCTGGGTGACCCTTGTTGGGTGGTTACATCCTGTCGGCCTGCTTCCTCAAGTGTGAAATGGGCCCTTTTTGCATCTCAGCAAACAGGAGTTCTTTCCCCTGCCCTGCCCACTCTCCCTTCCTGGGTCTTCACACTCTGAGTATCTCGGTGACCCTTCATTTCTTCCTTACTCAGCCATAACAGGCATGAATGTTATAAAATGGCAATGTAGTTTGTATGTAAGTTACCAGTGTGTAATTTTGTATATGTGTGCATCCTTTTATGTGTATATTTATAGATTTCATTGAAGTATGAAACTTACTTATGTTTACAAATCATAAAATGTTATTTTGATATTTTAGAGTGAATACATTGTTTTATTTATTTTTAACTTACCTAGATTTTTCTGCTGCCAAAGCTGTTTTCAAGTCTGTGTATTTTAAGAAGATGAATGTACAAGCTATAGTTGTTTTTCTTTCTTTCTTTCTTTCTGTTTTATCAATGTGACCTTTGGCTCATTTTTCTCTTGTTTGAAAAAAAGAACATTTCTGGCATGAGATTGGTTGACTCTGCTGACAGTGTGGATGTATAATGATTCCCCTATGTGTAATTTAAATTTATAATGTTTAAGGTTTTTAAAAATAATTTAGCTGGTTAGTCCTAGACCATTATAAGTAACAGATGAACTTAAAGTTTTGCTATGCATAGGCGAGATGTTTGTAATTCACTTTAAAGGTAAATATATACATTACTAGGTATTAATAGGGTTACTTATCCCAATAACAAAGATAGAAGCTTTTATCTATATAAATATATGTACAAATAGATACTGACCGTGTATCTATGCATATATGAAATTGTAAGCAAAAACATATTCACACTGACTTATAAGTATTATTGTCATAATTGAGTTTGCAGTTTTTAGAGGCAATTTGATAATACATCTACAGGCTTTTGAAATGTTTGTCCTGGATGAATACCTTTGAAGCATTTTCTCTGATAGCTTCTCATCACAGATGTAATTTGACAGCCACAATCAGAAATCCTAAATAATCATCAGTGGTAAAATTTCAGATTTGGATCCTCAGACCAGCGTGAGCAAATACCTTACTGCATCAATTGGTTATAGTTCTCAAACCCAAAGTAACTTCCTGAGGATGGAGAGAGTCTGTGTTACCCAGCAGTGTCACTGCCAAGCCCAGAAACCTCCTTTTCCAATCTCATGCCCCTTTCACACGTGCTGAAGGTATTTCATGGAAAGGCTGTTTCCTTACCTGTTTGTAGTCTTTCATCTGTGAGTCAAGCAACAGCCATTTCAGAATGTCTCAGTGGACGCTCCAAGTGGAGACTGTTAGACTCGGGGTTCTTGCTCGTCTTCAGGAACAGATGAGAATCAGGAACTTGACAGAAACCACGAGATAGGAGGTTGACTGTCTGTCACGCTGCCGAACTGGTTGGTCAGAACTCACTCAAGTCTGGGAAATGGAAACAAGCAGGAAGAGAGAGGTGTTCGGATCTCCGTCGTGTTGGGCCAGCCTCCGCGTTAGCTCCTTTCTTTCAGCGATTCAAAAAAGGTGTGGTGCCTTTTTTTTTTTCTTTTTCCTTCTTGAAATTTTCTACTACCTTTTTTTTCTCCCCCCAGCATTGCCACGTCATCTGGCAAATGAATAGCCAGGCGACAACCTACGTGCTCTTTGTTTTCATACCTTGCTGTTGCCAAATCCAACATGTAAAGGTGGAGGCTGCTCCAGGTGCCGACCTCTGAGTAGAGAGGACCAGGCTCCCTCTGCCGCACCCTCCTAAGAGGAAACCGTTGTGGGGGGCGCAGACCTTCTCTCTGCCCTTCTAGGCCTGAGACTGATTAACAGGAGAAAAACAAAGATTTAACAGCAGGTATATGTGGGAGAGGCCAGGAAAACAGAGTAACTCACCAAAATGGCAGAAGTCAGCACCTCACACACCGTCTTCAGCTAAAGACAAAAGATGTTAGGGGGCAGTGGTTTGGGAATTCAGGAGGGAGGAAGGAAATTCTCAGGAAGAGGAAAAAGAGCAAGCGTTTGCCGAACTGATGTTTGCTCTGCTCCAGAGAGACAGTGGGTCACGGGGAGGAGGCGTTTCATCAGACAAACTGCTGGGTCCCTCTGTGTCTGCGCAGCTAGTTCCTGTTGCGCGGCGCGTATCTGCAGTGGCTGTGCCCTTCAGGGAAGAGACCCTCCGTCTAAATTCTTCTAGGAAGTTAGGGGAAGGGCAGAGGTTCCTGAGTCTCTGGGGCCTGACTTGCTTTCAGCTCACAGTAATTGGCAGATCAGAGAGACACATCTGGGGTGGGCAGGTTCTGCTCCCCTTTCCTTCAGCCACGCAGTGTAGACAGCTGCTCACCAGCAGGTGGTGGTTGGGGCTACCCGGAAATGTGAACCTGGCACTCGAGCAGAGAAGCGTTCTGGCATCCCTGACCCCATCTGTCACATAAGAGGTGCTGCTAGTGACAGTTTTTTTTTCCCACATTAATTTTTCCACATTTGAGCGTTACTGACAAATAGATCACCAGTAGGACCTTGGTAATCTCATCACGTGTTAATCTTTTGCTCAACGTGTGATGCTAATATTACTGTTTTGAAAGCGAAAGGCAGGGCCCTCTCTGATTTTTGGTTCCTTGCCGGCCTTATACTATCACTTGTCACGTCCCAAGGAGGCCTCCAGTGTCTTTCCCCCTGAAGAACAGTGTGCAGTTAATAGGGGGATGTACTCAGAATTCGGCTGTAAATCCGTCATCAAAGTGTGTGACTCAGAAACAGATAAGAAAGAAACTGCCCTGGAAGGCTCTCTTTTAATTTTTAGCTGATGTTGGAGTGTAGTTAATTAACAATGCCATGTTCCTTTCAGGTATGCAGTGAGTGGTTTAGTTACACCTACACATGTATCTGTTCTTTTACAAATGCTTTTCCCATTTAGGTCCTCACAGAACACTGAGCAGATGGAGACTGTTTGTTAGGCGGCTGCATTGCAGGCCTGTTCACTCAGGTGCCCACACTGTGGGCTCATAGTTTAACGTGTCAGATCTAATTGGATCTAGAAACATAAGAAGCGTTTGCAGTTATAGTAGTCAGCAGTACTCACTTACATACTTACGATATGCCCCATGCTGTTTTAGATACTTTATATGTACCTGCTGTGTGGTAGGCAGTATTCCACGCCCTGGGGATGACATGGTGACTAACTCAGACCCAAGTCCCTTTCCTCATGAAGTGCATTTACTTATTTTGCGTCTTATATACAGACTCAGTATTAACTGTTAGCCGTTCAGTTGTGTCCAGCTCCTTGCAACCCCATGGACTGTAGCCTGCCAGGCTCCTCTGTGCATGGGGATTCTCCAGGCAAGAGTAGTGGAGTGGGTCGCCATTCCCTTCTCTACGGGAATCTTCCTGACCCCGGAATCGAACCTAGGTCTCCTGTTGCAGGCGGCAGTAGTCACTATTGATCCTTAATAAGCTCAGCAGAGGCCCCTGGGGACCCAGAGCTGGTTTAGGAAGGCTTCTCACTTGACTCTGCCTGGGGGCACCCATTCCCCATCCTTCCCCAGGGCCTATATACAGTCCTTCCTGCTGCTTTGACCACTGGGGCTCAGAGCCCCCGTGTGTTTGCAGAGGCTCGCTAGCTTCAGCTGTAAGCAGATCTGGTGGGCAAACACAAGTACAAATGGATATAAGGATGATTACCAGGGCTCATGGCAGAGTCCTTCAGATGTAAACATTGTGCTGATTAAATGGACAGTTTGGCTCTCGAGGCTTCCTTGGTTTATTGCAGGAGGCTCTGCTTATTCTGACAGTCTCAGAAACACCCACTCATTGTCTCCTTGTGCTCTTACGCGTCTTGCCTTCTCCACGGGGTGCTCCGCATGTGTATGGAGCATGACTGTGACGGAAATGATCATCACACTAAAGTTTACTTGATCTGCTCGTGTTCCTCTTAATACCAGGAGTTGCAAAGCCCAAGGCCAAAGGGGTTGCCCTACGTAGGGTGGTCCCCTGAGAGCAGGTAGTCCAGACAAGCGTGAGGCCCTCAGGGAGCCAGGAATTGTGAAGTGGAGCACGCATGGCCCACCCAGATGGGCAGCTGCTTCTCCACTAGACCTTGTCAGTGCCCCTCGCTGCCTCCTCTGTGGGTGGGTCGGTGCTGTCGGAACCTCGAATGGTGATTGTGCGCATCATTTTAAACACCTGCTGTGTTTATGTGTTTTAACTCACGGGGCTCTCACAAGGGCTCCATGAGCTGGGTTGGTTCCACCTCTTTCTTAATAGATGCAAAACCAAGGCACAGAGACGCTCCACAGAGCCTCTCCTGGAGCCCCGGCTCCTCTTAACTGCACTGTTGTGTCTGCATGTTGCCGTCTAAGTCAGATGCTTCTGTAGGCCTGATGTCTTGTGGGCTGAAACAGACCCTGACTGTGCTGGCTCACAGAAGGCTGGTTTGTGACCTCTGCTGTGTGGTGAGTTGTCTAGGCAGGAAGCCAGGGGATTCAGAGCAGTGCTCACCAGCAAGGGCTGGATCGAGGCTCAGGCACACAGCATCCCAGACGTTTGATGGAGGAGGGCTCTCTTTGTATCAGACCCTTTTGCGCCCAGTTTACCTGGGGGCCATCTGAGGACCCGCTGTTTCTATATTTACAGACGAGAGAAGAGAGCTTGGGAGGATTTAACCAAGTTGTTCAAGTGAGGAGGTAGCTGGACAGGACTTTGCAGCTGAAGTTTAAACTCAAGAGTTTAGGATTCCTTCTCCGGTTCAGCAGCTCTTTTCCACATCCCCATGAACAGTGAACACTGATTCATTAATTCATCAAGCATCAGACAGTCCTTGTTGGGCACACAGGAAGAGTATATTTTCTCATCACGAAATCTGGTTGCATGCCCTTGTCACATTTTAATCCAAGGTAGAGATGGCTCAGACAGTAAAGAATCAGCTTGCAATGCAGGAGCCGGGTTGTATCCCTGGGTCGAAAAGGTATCCTGGAGAAGGGTACTCACGCCGGTATTCTTGCTTGGAGAATCACATGGACAGAGGAGCCTGGCAGGCTACAGTCCATGGGGTTGCAAAGAATTTTTGGATATGACTGAGCAGCTAACACTTTGACAGAGGGAGATGGCAGGCATTTAAGTGGTGCAGGTGATGATGATTCTAGATGCCAAGAAGAATGGTAAAGTTAGTAGTTAAAGGCTATGCTATGTCTTGGAATTAGGTAAGATGAAAACTGGGTATCCAGGAAAAACGTGGTGAGTTATCTGGTTATCTTGTCTTCTCGAGATTGCATATCTCAACAGAGTGTCTGCGCTGGTAGAACTTTTGGCCGTAGGAGCTTATTGCCAGTGGGGCAAGGGCTCGTCTTATTTTTTTTTTATTTTTATTTATTTATTTTAAAATGCTGATTTGTTTGCCTGCCCTGGGTCTTAGTTGCGGCATGTGAACTCTTATTTGCAGCGTGACACAGGGATTGAACTCGGGGCCTTCTGCGTTGAGAACTCAGAGTCTTAGCCACTGGCCCACCAGGGAAGCCCCGTGTGGTTTCTCAGTAAATGTTTGAGAGGCTTTTAAGGAAAACCTGAAGCTGCCGCCTGTTTTCCCCTGTGTTTCTGGGATGCCCTTCTCGCCCTTCCAGTCACCTGGGAGCTCTGAAGCAGTTGTGACTCTTTCAGGTCGTTGTTCATATACCTGACTGGCCATCAGTACCACCTGGGGAGCTTTATATGCGGATTCTGAGACCCTACTTCAGTAGGCCGGTCACAATCCGTGTTTTTGGCTCAGAGCTCTTACTGTCAGAAGGTCTGGGTGAGCCGGAAATGTGGCCTGGGGGCAGCGTCCTGGCCGTGCTGTCGTGGGGCCGCTGATCTGAGGACACTTGGGGGAGCTTCTGTCGTCCCTTCAGGTGTCTTGCCTCCTGGCCCTTATCAGTCGCTGTTGGAGCTTTGGACACTGTTGTATGTAGACTCGTCCCCTAGAGCAGGAATTGTGGTGATCGGAGGGTGGTATTAGTGAGAGGAGAGAATTGTAGAGAGACCGAGAGAGAGAGGATAGAGCTAGAGCTTACAGAGATCAGGTAAAACCCAACGAGGAAAAGTGAGAATTTCTTCAGGGGCTCATGCAGCAAAAACAGTGAGGTCTGAGTTCTGGGCCCTGAAGTTTCTGTTTCAGCCTGTCTTCTCTCATCACTCGTTCTCTGCATTGCATGTCAGTGAATGATATAAATCTGTTCTTACACTGTCTGTCGTTACTCCTTTGTAGCAGAGAAGCTTTCAGAGTGGAGACTTTATGCACCTCACCCTGTGTGTCAATCAGATTTTGAAAACTGGCCTCAGGTGTCCCAGAGTGTGGAGCTTGTGGAAACCTGGGCATATTTGTGACTCAGAGCTATTGCAGTGCAGAATGTAAAGTCTACCCTGCATTACCATTTTGTATTTTCCTTGAGCTTTTTGCTGGTCATTTTGTGGATATGCTTAAATGTGATGATTAGCTTGTAAACATTTTTCCCTATTAGCATTGGAAATAATGTATCTTATTTGCAAAAATTTTTTATCCCGACAAACTATTGATCATATTTTGTGTATTTAAAAGATAGTATTTTGTTATGATGGTTAACAACACAGATAACTTGGCTTTATTCAACACAGGACACTAGTTTCAATTTAAAATAAATAATAAATGATGATGTAGTATAATGAATAGAGGACATATTTCCTTCTTCTAGGATTCTTAAAAAAATATAAAAAGATAATAAATGTTCTATTTTGGTTTTGTCTCTGTTTTTTTTTTTTGGATGCTTTGTTTTATGCTGAGTAGTTCTGTGTTCCCTCAAGTTATTCCCATTTCACTCTGTAGAACTCTGAAGATTAAAATACTATAGGACTTCATCCCCGTTAATCTCAAAGCCCTCCACATACCCCCAGTGTGATAGCCACCCCTCGCCCACCCCCCACGCTCACATGCACGCACACATCTCCTTTCCCCAGCGTCATTTCCAGGTCGGACTCTGCCTTGTCAGTGCCGGGGCTGGTTATATATAAACATCCCTTGGGTATTTGTCCTTCAAATAGAGTGAGTCTAATGCATGGAATCCTCCCATGTCTGTTATTGTTTCCAGTCAGTTTCCATCCAGCCTGTCAACGATTGCCGTAAAAGTCGGTTTACTTATATCTATAAATGTCTTAGTTTGTTCCTTGCCCCCAAATCCTTTTTCAAAGTAAGTACAAAAGTAACTTTGTTGTTATAACCTTATCCTCCAATTTTTTCCCCGTTGACTCTGTTGGACAGTTAGCCACACCAGAACATTTTGCTGTTTCTCACCTGCTGTCTTGGTACTTACTCACGATGGCCCTCTATAGTTATGTTTTTAATTTCTCCCTGGTGTGCTGCAGTTCATGGGGTCACAAAGAGTCGGACACGACTGAGTGACTGAACTGATGACTGATGACTTTGTAGTATCCCGTAATTTATGTAGTCATTATATGAAGATTTTCAATGAACCTATTTTAACTGCAGGAGCTATATTACTGGGTTATATAATTTTTTAAAAAATTAAAAAGGCTTTTCTGGCAAGTGATTTATTACAGTGTGTGTGTTTGTGTTGGGGGGAGTCATGGTTTCAACAGGCTTCTACCAGACATTGAGATATACACTGGGTTACGAATACAGAGAATTTTAGTACAAGACCATTAGAAACACTATAGGAAACTATAGAGAAATTAAAAGGAAGTGAGTTTAGGGAGTTCCCTGGCTGTCCAGTGCTTAGGACTTGGTGTTTCGTTATTGGGGCCAGGGTCAATTCCTGGTCGGGGAACTAAGATCCTGCAAGCCTCACGGTGTGGCCAAAAAAGGGGAAGTGAGTTTGAAAGTTGCCGTCTTAAAGGATCTGTGAAGAAGCTGGCATCTCAAGTGGTTCTTGCTGGCTGTCTCTCTGATGTCTAGACTGAGCCTAGAAAGCCCTTCAGGATAGAGAGAATGGTGTGACCAAAGGCACCAGCCCGGGAAGGAAAGTCAGCAGAGGTGGGTGGGACAGTGTGAGCCTTTTGATCATCCTGCTGAGGTGTTCGTAATTCATGATACCGTGACGTGTTGAGCGTTTTGGTAAAAATAAGTGAAGATGGCAAAGTCAGTGTGTTGATTTAGGGTAGTGGAAGAGGGTGGCAGGATTTATGTCTTTAGGACATATAATTACCCACTATTTTGTAAAACAGTGCTTTCTTTTTTTTTTTTTTGTAAAGACTCTTGAAATGAGCAACAGGCACAGGAATTCATTGGCAGTTGTGTGCTCCCCTTTATGCGAAAGTTGTAATTGGAGACACAAATGTCTGTTACAATATCTCCCCCTACTGGAAGATTGGCAGAGGTGACAGTTTATAAAAAGAACTGATATGAGCAATATTTACATGTTTTGTCGACTAACAAACACCTCACTTTGAAGTAGGCACTAATATTGAGTCATGAGTCGAATGCCTAGTCTCAGTTAGTTGAATTACTCAAAAAAATTTTCTTTGTTGCTAATAATAGATATAACCTTAAGAATCAGACTGAATTAATTTCAGTCCATGATATTAGCAAAGAGTCAAAATTGAGAACTCACTGTCACAAAAATAAAATCTCAGTGCGTGTATTTCCTCCTGTAGGCATAGTTTTTTGAGAAGATGGCCATGAAGCAGAAGCGGCTATTTTCTTTTATCCCTCTGAGCCTCCAAAATAATATCCTTTCTCTTTATTTCATTCTGCTCCCATTTGCTCTTAAGACTCACCTGTCACTAATTCTGGGCGTGTCTCTAGTGTCTTGGCGTTGTTCATGTTCTTCCTATGTCGCCTTTTTTAATGTCCATCCCAGCCAGAATGCGCAGTGGCAATCTCTGTTGCCCACTCCTGTCGCAGGCACTGAGAAATGTTTGTTGAGTGAACATGTATTATCCACGTGGGAGAGAGGCAGGGAATGTCCCCCCAACTGTCGTGTCTGGTCCTGTGGGTAAAGATAAATGCGATGGGCTTCCTGGGGTTTCCAGGTGGCTCACTGGTAAAGAACCCACCTGCAATGCAGGAGATGCAAGAATGGTGGGTTCAGTCCCTGGGTCGGGAAGATCCCCTGGAGAAGGAAATGGCAACCCACTCCAGTATTCTTGCCTGGGAAAGTCCATGGACAGAGGAGCCTGGCGGGCTATAGTCCATGGGGTTCACAGAATCTGACATGACTGGGCGTCTGAGCACACACAGGATGAGTCCCTTGGAGTAGCAGTCTCTGACCTTTTCGGCATCAGGGACCAGTTTCCTGAAAGAAAATTTTCCCATGGACTGGGAATCGGGGGTGGTTTGGGGATGATTCAGCCCATGACGTTTATTGCACCCTTTATTTCTATGACTTTTCCATCAGCTCCGCCTCTGATCGCCAGAGGTTAGATCCCAGAGGTCGGTGACTCCTGCTGGAGGGTAGTGCACTACTTCATAAGACGATTTATTTGCTTAGCACTCTGCTCAGCTTTTTAGTAAATCATTTGAGCAAGTTAGGAAAACGAGTCTTCAGAAGCCACTGAGAGAAGCTTTGGTCAGAATGAGACTTAACGGATGTAGAGAGTAAATACTTCATTTTGATTATGTTGAGGAAAATAATAAAGAACCTGTAATAGGAATGGAAAAGAGTTTTATTTGAGCCAAACTGAGGAATAAAGTCTGGGGCACAGCCTCTCAGATAACTCTGAGGAATCACTCCAAAGGAACATGGTTTTCAGTGCAGTTTGATGTCAGAACAAAGAACATAAAACAATCCAGGGATGCATTCCTTCAAGGTTTCAAAAAAAAAAAAGAAAAAAATTCCGCACATACACAGCGAATCAGTATGGACTTGGCATCTGGGAGGAGAGTCTTATCATCAACAGAACACCAGCATTGATGTCCCAGGAAGAGAGGCATTTACTCTTTATTTTTGACATGGACATCCTTTACTTCTTGTCAGCATGCCCTTTTCTTTAATAATCAAACAGATGTGCAGTGTATGTTTGATAGGCCACCAGCAGGCGGTTCTGCTAGCATGGAACTCAGGTCAACTCATATATAAGGCAGAAGACTTTCCCATGCCTCCGTGTGTGAACGTGTATCAGCTTGATAAATTTCCCCAGAGTTCTTCCGATAAACAGATGTCGCCTGTTCAGCTGTGTGATGTGTGGGAGGACCAGGTGCTCGCAAGTTTAGGGGAAGGTTTTGTGGTGGGGAGACTTCAGGGAGCTTGTCTGAGGTTAAACTGAATGCAGGGTTTTTTTTAGTTTTTTGTTTTTGTTTTTCCTGTTTATTTTTTTGCCCAACGAGTAAGCCATACCTGAAATTTGCAGACTCAGTCTCCTTCGCTGTCTAGCCAGCTGCTACTAGCTAAGCACACTTGTGTATTCCTCTGGTTCGTGTGAGTGTTGTGTGGTCATCTTTGGCAATTTAGTTTCCTTGGTGGTGCGACTGAGAAGGTTTTCTGCGGTTTGGGGCCATCATGCTGTAGAGAGCTGCATGTCTGTCCAGTTAACGTGTGGCGCACAGCGGTGAGCTCTGGGCTGTTTTTCGCAGACCAGTTGGAGTCATTAGAGTGAGGACTCGGTGGGGCCACGCTTCTGTGTCTGCTCCTTGAATGAGCTGCTCAGGGCGCAGCTGTGCGTGTTGCCCTTGTCTGATTCCCAGGCAGGGCACAGACGGGTTGATTGAGGATGTGTGGTTCCACTTGAGTGACTTTATCATGACCAGAAGGCTCATTGGGTCCCATGTTTCGTTTCTTCTGGAGCCTGGCAGACTTCTCGTAGGCGGCGGTTATCTAGCCCTAGTTGTGTAATAGTTCCCTGACGCCAGCACCCTTGGTGGCCCGATATCCTGGCCCCTCTGTTATCTGACCCGTGTGTTGAGTTGTCTCTGCAGAGGCTTGTGCCTTGGGAGGCTGAATGCTGCAGCCTCCTCTTCTAAACGCCTGCTGAAGTCACACCAATCATAAATTTTGTGCTTAGTTGTTAACCATGTGACAGATTCGTGATGGTTTGCTGCAGAGGAGAGAGAGAACGTAAATTAAAATTTAGATTATGTATGCTTGCCAAGGCAAAAGCACTAAATTTGGTGAGCAGGGTTCTTTCTTGTGCTATTAAACAAAGCCATTCGCAGTGAGCGCTGACCTAGAAACCATTATCCACACTCCCAGGAAACCTCCATTAGAGGTTTTTGTTGGATAGTTGTGAATCCAGCACACAGGGGTTCACAGTTTGTGCTGGTAAACTGGACAGAGGAGACTTCACTGTGGGGCTTCAAGGTGATGAAATGGCCGGGTTTCTTGATCTCTTTATCCTTGTCCTAAACTGCTTGTTTAACTGGGTAACGCAGTCCTCACAGACGTGAATTTTCAGATGTGCTGTGAGCACAGGGGCCATGTGTCCAGGTTTGTTTACACTGTCTCAGTTTACACCTGTGCCAGCTCAGTAATTGACACTTCCACACTCAGAAGTAGCCGGGTTTTGGTCATGAATTATATGCTCATCTGAATTGTTGTTTAGTGACTAAGTCATGTCCAACTCTTTGCAACCATATGGACTGTAGCTTGCCGGGCTCCTCTGTCCACGGGGGATTTTCCAGGCAAAATACTGGAGTGGGTTGCCACTTCCTTCCCCGGGGGATCTTCCCCACTCAGGGATTGAGCCCGCGTCTCCTGCATTGGCAGGTGGGTCCTTTACTGCTGAGCCACGAAGGGAGCCCCCTCGTCTGAACTGTGAGGGGGTAAAATGACCAAGTAAGTGTGACTGATGGACTTAGTATTCTCTTAATAGTGAGTATAATCTTTCAGGTTTAGTAAAGGAGTTACTGAGGCTTTGCCTAGGAGTGCTGCTTAGTGTCATTCCCAGCCTCATTTGCAGCGACTTGTGTCTAGCGTTTGGCGACGGAAAGCATTTGCAAGGCCCTTGGTCATATCAGTAACACCTTAAGGCGTGTGCTTCACCTCATTACTGAGCCTGATTGAAAGCAAGGCTTCTGGAGCCGGGTGGCCTAAGTCTGCATCCCAGCAGTAGCCCTCCGACCTGTGTGTCCCTGAGAACGTTACGGTAATGCCAGTGCTTCCTTGGAGCTTGTCAAAGGCATGAAGGGAGTTGATACAGGTCGGGAGCTCACAATGATGCCCACTTTGTAGGGAATGCCAGTAAAAGTTAGCTATTTCTATTTCATTAGAAAATAACTGTGTAGTGTTAAAAGTTCTAGAAAGGAGTGTGTGTGGGCCTAGGCCAGAATGGAAAACTCGAGGCTCCTAGCAGAAGTGCTGGCAGCTTAGCACCAGGCTGAGGTGGGCTCACTTCCCCTCTCAGCTGCACACAGTGGGGGCGGGGCCGAGGGTTTCCTGTGCTCTGGCCCGGGAGCTCACACTGCTGCCTCCAGCCTGAGCGAGGCCTGACCCTGGGCCGTGTGGGGTGGAGGCCGAGCGTGTGCCCCGCGTGTGAGGCCAGACTTGTAGGACTGGTGCAGGGCTGCTAGTGGGGGGAAGGAAGGAGGAGCCACTGGATGACTCTGCATTTCCATTCAGGCGCCTGGGTGATGGTGATGGTGTTAATCAAAGCCAAGGGTACGGAGCCTCCTTGGATACGATGCAGTATCCAAGTGATGCAGTCCTCATTTTCATGGTCCCACACTACCATACAAAGTGAGGTCTGCATGTATAGATAGGTTATATTATCAATGTACTAAAAATACGCTGAACTTCCATAGTGGCTCAGATGGCAAAGAATCTGCCTGCAGTGTAGGACAGAGACCTGGCTTGAGCCCTGGGTCGGGGAGAGCCCCTGGAGAAGGGAATGGCAGCTCACTCCAGTATTCCTGCCTGGAGAATCCCTTGGACAGAGGAACCTGGTGGGCTACAGTCCACGGGGTCGCAAAGAGTTGGACGTGACGGATGACTGACGCTACGAGTTGTGCGCATTTGTGCTCAGACTCTCAGCCGTGTCCGACTCTTTGTGACCCTGTGTACCATAGCCCGCCAGGCTCCTCTGTGGATTCTCCAGGCAAGAATCCATGCTCTCCTCCAGGGGATCTTCCTGACCCAGGGATCGAACCATGTCTCTCATTTCTCCTGCATTGGCAGGCAGCTCCTTTGCCAACTGGGAAGCCCTAATGCTGTTACTGCTAAAAATACGTTGAAGCATATCTCACAGAAAGAGTGCATTGGGTTCGATGGAGTTGAGAAGTTCTGATCTAGGTGATGCCACATTTATATCACATAAGTGTCTGGCCCAGTATTCATCTCCTTACACATTCATTTTTTCCATTGTGTTTAATGTTGGCATTTCTCCAGCTGCATAAAATAGCACATAAAAATCTAAAGATACAGTTGATATGGCATTTTGAAAAAACACAGAATTTATTTTTGGTAATTGATAGATGGCCTCACTGTTACTGAAGGTATTTTGCTGTGGGATAGTAGTAACAACCTTAAGAATGGGAAGTGATTTTTAAGGGGTATTTTTGTGTGTGCTCAAGAATCCCAGGGACAGAGGAGCCTGGTGGGCTGTGGTCTGTGGGGCTGCACAGAGCTAGACACGACTGAAGCGACCTAGCAGCAGCAGCAGCCGCTTCAGCTGTGTCCAACTCTTTGCAGCCCCGTGGACTCTGGCCCTCCAGGCTCCTCTGTCTATGGGATTTCTCCAGGCGAGAACTCTGGAGTGGGTTGCCAGTTCCTTCTCTAGGGGATCTTCCTGACCCAGAGATTAAACCTGAGTCTCTTATGTCCCCTGCATTGGCAGGCGGGTTCTTTACCACTGGCACCACCTGGAAGCTATCATAGGTTAGGGAGCTGAGTTATCTTTGGTATATTAAATCTCTTAGCCCTAGTTAGAAGTACTGTGTGTTTATATCTGTGTCCAGGTAAACATGTCTAGAGTGTTGTTGGAAAGTCTTGCTTGTAACATTTAAAGCTAGACTTAGAAGCTTTGGCCAATCTGGTCGACTTCTAGACTCTTGTTGATAAACTAGGATGATCTAATCTGATGTGTGGCTTGTTTCTAAGAGCTGCTGCAATCAACAGATTTCTCTGGCATTATTCAAAGAGAAGCTGGCCACTTATTAAAAATGCTTGCCTAGGAAGGTGTTTGAAAGAAAAGAATTTCTGATTTAATGCCATATCTTGAGTTTCCAAATGAGGGAAGGAAAGGCTAGGTGGTCTAATAGCCACATTACACCATTTTCTGAAATCATTTTAGATGATTTTTTTTTATCTCATTATTGTAGCTTATAAGAAAAATTTAAGAATATTCAAAATAAAAGTTGCCATTTGAATCCCATACATTTCTTGATAAGTTAAACATTTTAACACTGACAATCTTAGTCCAATTCTAATAAATGATTTTTGAAACACTAAATTATATTTAAATAAACTTTTTTTGTATGTCAAAAAGCATAGTCAATATTTGTTCCGGTTTCCCTGTGAAATTTATGTACATTTCAGCCTTTTTAGTTTTTTTTTTTAAAGACACATCTGTAACTTACCTGGAGATGGAAACGGCAGCCCACTGCTGTATTCTTACCTGGGGGATCCCGTGGACAGAGGAGCCTGATGGGCTACAGTCTGTGGGGTCGCAAAAGAGTCGGACAAGACTTAGCAATTAAAGAACAACGTAATTTCTTATAGGTCTTATTTTTTGTCAAACATTTCCATCTTATATTTATCTAGGCAGCTCCGGGACTGATGTGCCCTCCCCCGCACAGCGGCACCCCCTCCGCCCCCCGCCAAACACACACTGCTTTTTGTTAGCACTAGAGATGACTGGCTGGAAGGCCTAGGCCATGGTAATGTGAAGTCACCAGCAGTAAATAGGACTGGAGTCTTTTTCAGTTGTTTTGTGAATTTTACCACTAGATGGTGATAGAGGGCTAGGGGGCGGAGCATAGCTAATTCAGCATCTACCAGATGTTTATGTTTAAATTTGAAAATGTTTGATCTTAATGCTTTTATAATTCACTTAGACATATCCAAAGAGTATTGGAAATATAATTTAGCCATAATTTTTTTTTTTAAACATAGTATGTTCCTAGTATTTATTGATTTGATAAGCTGTTTTCTTGTGGTGGTCTGTTTGAGAGAGAATCTCTATTTACGAGATGTAAGTGATCCTCGAGCTTTATTTTGCTCTTGTTTTTTTACCTTATTTTTTTCTTGTATATCACATTTCTCCACAGTGATCATAAAATTTATGTTTGAGATTATACCGTGTATTCACAATTTTGGCTTAGATAGTTAGTCTGAACTTATGCATTTTCCAAGTTATCATTTCTTTGAAACTTTAATTGAGAAACAAAATACTGATACACTATTTGGAAATGAGAATAAAATGGTATGAATGGTATAATGAATATAACAGAGTTAGTAATATGCACACCCAAAAGATTTTCTGCAAGGTTAGTTTCTCTGCATGTAATTTTTATGAATAATAGGAAAATTTCTTTTTGAAATTATCTGAATATATTTCTAATTTGCATAAAATAAAAATAGCTATGTTAAAATTGCTGCCTTAAGTGGGTCCTAAAATACTGAATATAATCCAAAAGTTCCATGTAATAAATTTTAGATTTCAAATTTAAAATTATTTCCAAATTATCAGTTAATTAAAAACAAATCAAAGAGAATTTTTGCTTTCTTCAGCGTTAGTGCTGCAGTTTATATTAACTTATGACACCAACACAATATTTTAACTTATTCCTGTGGATATTATGTCAGTCATGTGACTGATTCATTCTTGGTTGTGACCACAGTGTGAGTATTGGTGTAAAATACAAGCAGCATGATTTTGATGCTTTTGCAATATGGCTTTAAGAAAATGGGGGTAATACTTTCAAATTTTTTCCCTAAGTCAATGTTTTAAGTTATCCCATTGATTTAATAATGTGATTTCAGAGAATAAAACCACAATATTAAATGTATCCATTAACTCTACAGCAGTACAATTTTAGAAACATTAAAATGGGATTGAAATATTTTAAGGACCTCTTAGAATTGAGGCCTGAATTTTAGAGAATTAAATGCAGTGTGGGTTTAGCTTTGCTAAATTTCAGAACACCAAATGGAATCATTTGATGAAGATGACAGGTTATTTTTTAGGTATGTTCTAAGATGAGCATGCCTTTAACAGAACAGAGACACACAGACACACACGCACAAGGACTGTTTGTGAGCCGTGATGTAGAGACAGGCAGAGGAAGGCGAGTCTAGGACACGCTGTCTGAGGGTTTTCCCAGCTGTGGCATTGCTCCTCCTCTTTATACGGGGCAGGTGTACCTCAGCCTGGGTGTTAGGAGGAGAATGGAGAAAGGAATTAGCCTTTCAAACTGTCTTCTTAAATACCTACTCTAAGCATGGCTATCTTAACCCAGCTAGTGAACACAGCGAGCAGCAGGTGGTGGTAGCTAGGCACATATCCAAGAGAGATGTGTGTTAATTCATGTACTGCAGATCCCCTGGAGTTTATGGAATTGGAATCTTGATGAGAAATAGATATTCTGATAAAGGTCCTTAGACAGTTCTTTTAACCTCTTTGCTTCCATCCTTTCTGTTAAACCTGACTCACCTATTAGACCCCCTTTCTGCTCTTGAACCTAACTTTGGTAGTCACTGTTAGGCTGAGTTACTCTTGGGCCCTGCTTCCTTCTTTTTTGCTCACTTTAGCTTTTCAGAATTTTGCAGATCGTTTGTACGAGTCTAAATAAAATGAAGCCTTGCACCGTTACACCTGTGCATCTGCTTTGTCTTCGTTAACCATGATGCCTTTTCATCAGCAAACGTGGCTTCGCTCCTGGTCTTTTACTGCTTCCCTGGCAGCTTGTCCCTGTTAGGAACCTCGACAGTGGTCAGGCAGCTGAAGGCTTTGAAAAAGCATGAAGGTTCAAAGGTTTATATTGAAGAAGGAGAGATTATTCTAAGATTTTAAGTTACCCTTAATCTCTTTGACTTGATGTATTGAGCTCCACAACTGAAGGTTTAACACGAATGATATTCCTATTGGAGATGAGATATAATTTAAAACTATAGTTTTTATAAAATAAAGAGTACTAAATGGCTTTTAAATAAACTATATGTACTTGACTATTAATGAAGGCTTCATCTTCTGTTCTCTGCCCCAGCACATAAGATTTAAAATCAGCATAGGGGTATAATAACGGCACTGTAAGGTCAGTGTTTTATCAAAAGCTACTTGTCTTAATACTTAGTCATACTTTTTTCTTCTCTGAAATAACCTAAGTTTAAAATCAGTTAAGTGACTCCAGTCTTTCAAGTGCATTGCTTAAAAAAATACAGTTGAACCTCCTTGCCTACTCCTGCGCTGTGCCAGTTTTTCTAATGTGCATAAAACGTAAACATAGACAAGGGGCTGTGGCTAACGTTGTGAACAGGTCATAGATACAATGACAGAGAAACCTAGCAATCCATGTTTACTGAGTTACATCTGCAACAAATGAGCTGTGTTGGAAACAGCATTTTCTTTCCCAAGTCTTAAGGATCAAGGTCGAACAGAGTCCTCTCTACTTCCTGTCCTCTCGACAGTGGCTTCAGAGCATCAGTACTTCTGGAAGATGACTGCAGTGCGCTGGCATAGCTGTGGCTTTTGCTGCCCCTGAAATCTGCTCCTTAAACTTTGAGTCATGATCCCCGCTGCTCAGCCATCTGCCATCTCGCCAATTTCACTTTCTTCATTATGCCTTAATGTTTTCCTCAGTTCCAAATTATACCCCAAATTCATAACATTGCAGTTCTCTTTTCATCCACATTTTGATGGGCTCAAGCAAGGGTAATGAAAATACACGTTTATTTACACTTTGTACATACTGGCAAACAGGAGCGGGCCTTGGGACCTTGAATTCCTACACGTCAGTATAATCATAGTATATGCGGACCTCGGATCTTCTGACACTCTGTAGTGATCGGATGCTTTCACTCCTTGTTCTGATGTTTGATTTTTTGAATAGCCTTCTTGAAAATGAGCGACACATGAAAAAGTAAATGATGGGGTCCAGGCACACATTGCACGCAGACAAGAAAAGTGTCATTTCTTTGCAGTAATACAGGATCTTGTGTGCCGACTCATCTAAAAGTCTGTCCAAGTGACTGAAAGTGAAGGGAATCCTACACAAGTGATAGGGTAGAAAGCAGGTAAAGAACACAGCCACGACCACTCTGATGCTCTGGTTATGTTTTCGCTTTCGGCTTGATTGGCTTATGAATTGCCTGCTGGATTTGTGGATGTACCTGGAAATGGCTATGTAACACCCGATCAGTATCACCAGCACGACCACGAACAGGCAGCTGTTGACGTAAGTGATGGCGTGATGCCATTCCACTCCCAGAGGACTCTTGAGTTGCGTGCACTCATGAATATTTTCCCTGGTTGGCTGGACGTTGGTTAGAATGATGTTTGGCAAGGACAGGACAGCCATGAGCACCCAGACGCAGACAGACAGAACCTTTGTGAAGGTTATGCTGTACATGCGAGAGTCGCCAAATGGCTTTACCACCTTCAGGTAGCGATCGATGCTGATCAGCCCCAGAAACACGATGGAAGTATACATGTTGGCGTAAAATAGAACCGAGGAGTATTTGCAGAGGATGAACCTGAAGTACCACGGTCCCAGTCCCGCGTCATGGACGATGCGAAACGGAAACGTCAGCGTCATTATGAGGTCGGCCACCACTATGTTTTTGAGATAGAATATGAAGCTGGTTTTATTCCTAATGTGAAAGAAGATCCATACTGCTAGACCATTCAGCAAGATGCTTGCCACGAATATAACGAGGTAGAGCCCAGGCAAGACGATAGTGTCGAATTCGTTGTGAACGGTGGCGTTCCTTGCGAGTCGGTCGCTCGTGTTACTTGGGGTGTGATTCCCTGGGCCACGCGGTTCATCATCTGTAGGAGAAGTGGGGAGACGTCAGTTCAGGTTCTGCACACACGCCCTACTCATGCCAGGCTTCCTTACAGGCTGAACTACTGATGTTTCGGGCTAGTTAAAAAACATCTTTAGTAATTTAAAGAGTCTGTTTAGTGCACTGTTAATGTTTTGAGTGGCTAAAGAATTGGTGACCTCACACAGCACGGTCCTACTCTGTAGTACAGAGAGCAACCCTCAGGATCCTGTAATAAACATGATGGAAAAGAATATGTGTTTTATTCTGCTGTATACCAGAATCACTCTATTACTGTATACCAGCGACTGACACAACATTGTGAATCAGCTGTAGTTCAATAAAGAAACACACACACAAAGCATTAAAAACTATTCGTGACCTCACCCCTGAATCCCACTTCTCCCACCAAGTCCTTTGAGTAAAATATGAATTTCTGGTTGGTTGAGCTAATCATTTGAATGAAAATAAATATACCAGTGAAAATGATCTTGATTCAACTTTTAATTCAGTTTTGATATAATTACAAATTGAATAAATTGGGGAGCAGCAAATTAAAATTTCATACAACAGAAGGGTAGCATGCGGTTATTTTAGTGCGGGTAGGCTCTTTGAAATTTCTTTTTCTCTCAGTTTTAAGCTATTTGAAATGAGAAAGAATAAAACTAGCAGGTCATTTTGAATTATTTGCCAGTGACTTTTTTTTGGGGGGGGGGTAATACTTAAGAAAGTTTAGGGAGCACTGTTAGGAAGAAAGACAAAAAGGGACAACTGTCATTAGTATTTAAATTCATTATCAAGGAGGACAATTTAAAAAAAATAATTGCTGCCTGGTACCTATTTTTATTTATAAGCTAGATTATACCTATTCTGCTAAGAATGTGAAAATTTTGAACCTTTTGCTCTTTTGAAATCTTGAGTTCGTGAGCCTTACCATTGCATCGCATAATCAGTGAAACAGTTTGTGAACACTGGATTTGCGTGACAGCCGCGAGCAGGGGCCCCTCATTTCTCCGGCTGCAGGGAAGGTCACTGACGGGCAGCTCTAGCGCAGTGCCCTGAGCCCAGCGCTGTTTTCCTGCTGATGCCACGCTTCCGTTGGGTCACTCCCAGCCAGTGACGGAGCACAGCGGGCACATTAAGACAGGCCTGCTCCTGGGGCAGCAGGGCTTCCTCCGATGATGACTTTGGCTGGGGCACTTCTCATCAGTCTGGTCAGAACTTCTTCCAACTACACAGAAATGTGAATCTTCCTATTTGCTCCCTGCTCCCTTCTCTCCTGCACAGGGGCTGGGCCTGCATAGCTGTCTGCAATCCCTCTGGGCATTCCCCTTAAGCCGTATGGCTACTTTGATCTGCTGCCACCGCCCTTTTTTTTTTTTTTTTTTAAAAACTGAAACTGTTTACAAGTGAACTTTTGGGGTGTGACTTTACAAGAAAAGTCATTTCTGAATTTTCACGTCTCACTAGTAACGTTTACTATAATGACAATTATGCTTTGGAATGGTTTTGTTTTAGGGCTAACAGCATGATTTTAGACTTTCCCTACATGACAGGCAGCGTACTTTGTTTTCCTTCTTTGAAGAAGTGAACAAGGAGGAGTTTGGGTGATTTTTAATCCAAAAACAGGTTCTTAAATTGCTGCCTGAAATTTTAAGTGTATAGGCTCTTCTCAAGTAACCTTGTCCTCTTTTTAATTCTTTTCCTTTTATTCTCTGCTAGAAGTGTTCTTAAAAATTGGTTTCCCTGGCTTAAATATCCTTAAACAGGCTGGTAATTGATACTTGGACTAGCCTGTTATGATGAGACCCACAGTATTTATAAGTTTACAATGCCTGATTCAGCGGCCATCTGTATCATGGTTGCCAGTTATAAGCATCGTCTTGAACAGTACTGTTCAAGCCAATTTTGACTTAATGAAACGTCTTGGTCTTGGCTGCTTCTGTGCCAGCAGATGCATATCAACGTCCATAACCTTAGAAGCTTCTTAAGATATGCAGTTTTACCTGGGTTAAGGAACCTGCTTGAATTAATTTCTTCAGTGAAACTATCAGCAGTCCCTTTCATCTGACCCAGAGTAGACACCTAAAGGAATCATAGAGAGGACAAGTAACTTAATCAGGGTGAGTGGTCCAACTGAGGGACCTTGCCTGAAAAGGGGCAGCTACACCATCTCCTGGAACACTGGCTATAGCCTGTAACAGTGATTTTCAAAGCCACGGTGAGTGCAAACAGAATGGTTCCCTGGCCACAGATATATACTGCGTGTTTAGTCTGTCAATCCTATGCAACTCTTTAGAGTGTATCCCGCCAAGGCTCCTCAGTCCATGGGATTCTCTAGGCAAGAATACTGGAGTGGGTTACCATTCCCTTCTCCAGGGTATCTTCCTGACCCAGGGACTGAACCGGAGTCTCCTATGTCTCCTGCATTGCAGGCAGATTCTTTACCCACTGAGCCATCGGGGAAGCCCAGCATACACAGTAGGCATGGAGTATTTCAACCCTTCGTGCTAGCTCCCTGGATCTGCTGTGCCTGTCCATTGTGGAATAGAAGGACCCCTACTTCTCTGGGTTGATTAGGAATTTTGTGTCCATTATATACTTTCAAGTTTTAATTGTGTGAACAAGCACTCTTATTAAATAACGATTTACTGATCAGTTATGGTTATTATAAAAGTCAGTCTTAAATCAGAAGGTCAGAAATAGTCCTGATACATACTCTGAGTCATAAATAACACCAGGGCCGACTGACCTCTTTTCACTGTTCTGTAGCTTTGAGGGTGTCTGCCGATCCTGTCACCTCACAGTATTTGCATCCTGAGTTTATGCATGAGATTAACAGTTTGTAATACAGGACTTCTTACTTCAGTGGAATAGACTTGGGCTTGGTTATTACTTCATTTGCAAATTTCACATTTACGTTGCAGCTTAAACAAACTAGTGGTTAAAACCTGTTGCGGGTCATTCTATGAAACAGTATATGGTGGTCGAGGGAACAGCCATCTGAGGGCTGCTCTGGAGGGCTCAAAACTGAACATAGAGAGTTTTTTGTGACACTTGATTTTTTTTTTTTTTTTAAGAATTAAGACTACGGCATATTCTTTCCTGCCAGCTACCTCCCATCATTTCTTCTCTTCTGTAGCATTGCCCGCAGTCTCCCTAATGCCTGTGGCTACGCCCAGAAGCAGTTCTCTGCAGTGTCCCCACTCGGGAGCAATGTCCATTTAAAGTGAGTGGCTTTCTTTACCCAGGCGGTTTTATCATGTGCTTCTTTGCTGTCAGTAAAGAACTTGACTGAGTTAGGAAACATTTTTAATGACAGGTATGATAGTGATTCAATTAGTAAAAATTGGAAGCTGTTTTTACAGCATAAAGGCTATTTTCTTATATCTAACACTCCTTGTTTCCTTGGATGTTATTCCCAGTGTTATTTAGCACAGAGCTTGATTACAGAGGGAGAGTGATGATCAAATTTCCTTTACTGTTTTCCCCCTGCACTCCTGCCTCCAACTCCTTTTAAATTAAGTTAGCAGAGGCAATGACCTAAGAACACTAGTACCAAAGTGAATCATCATTTTGTGCCAGTGTGTGTCTGAGGGTGGGGCTTCCCAGGTTCCAAAGTGGTAAAGAATCCCCTTGCTAATGCAGGAGATGCAGATTTGATCCCTGGGTTAGAAAGCTCCCCTGGAGAAGGAGATGGTAACCCACTCCAGTGTTTTTGCCTGGGAAATCCCATGGACGGAGGAGCCTGGCAGGCTGCACTCCATAGGGTCGCAAAGAGGTGGACACGACTGAGCCTGCATGCATGTGTGTGAGGGAGGTGTTGGGGTGTATGTGCTGGGGCTGTGGTTGCCTGTGTATGTGTGTGTAAGGGGGATTGTGTGTGCACTGTGTGGCTGAAGAAATGCATGGATTTTGTAGTCGGATAGCTCATTAGCCCTAGGTGGCTCCTGGAGTGGACAGTGGAGGTCTAGGGCATTGCAGTCCTGTTTGTTAATGTTTTTTTCAAATTACGTTCTTTGGAGTATGGTTGCTTTACACTGCTGTGCCTGTCTCCACCGTGGAGCAAACGGAATCAGCCTGTGTGTATCTCCTCCCTGCCGGCCTTCGTTCCCTTCCCGGTCACCGCAGAGCGTTAAGTAGAGTTCCCTGCTCTGTATAGTATGTTCTCGTTAGTTATCCATTTTATACAGAGCATCAGTAGTGTATGTGTGTGAATCCCCATCTCCCAGTTCCTCCCCCATCGCCTTCCCGCTTGGTATCCGTGTATGCGTTCCCAACGTCTGTGTCTCTATTTCTGCTTTGCAGATAAGGTCGTCTACACCATTTAGAAAGTCCTCTTTGACAATGCTGGTTCAGTCACCTCTTGGCTTTGTGAAATGGAATAAATAGCAGCCATTTTGCTGGGTCTTCTGAGAGTTAAAAATGCTCTGCATACATTTCAGGCGCAGCAGCTCACACTTAGTAGGTGGTCTCTCTCAACGCCAGGCCATGATTTGGACTTGTGCCATGAGCAGCAGTCACGTTCTGAATGAAGTGTGATGAAGACTCTTGTTCCTTTTGCCTCTGGAGACGCCCCGCTGCTGCTCGTGGGGGCATGTCACACTTCGGCACTGGACGTGAAAGCATCAGCGCCGTGTCGCCGCTCTGCCTGCCGGGCGGGAAGGAAGTCCCAAGGTGGTGCAGATGCCGGGCGTCACTGCCCAGGTACGGCTGCCCTGCACGCTGTGTTCTGGTTACCCCGTAGTGCAGGTGGGTGTTGTCTTTGGTCTGGACTGTTCCATCCGGCAAGGGGTATGTGCTTTAGTTTCAGTGTGAAAGACTTTCCCAATTGTTACTTTAATCTTCCTGTCCTTTTAGAGATCATCTCTAGATGAAACAGCTTAAGACAAAGTGATGGCAAGTTAGAGTTCTCTCGGCAATGCCATCCTGCATGTTTGCTGTTTTACATTTAACGAAGGCAAGGATAAACGCAAGTTTATTTTGTTAATTGATTTGCCAACCACCAAAATCCTTAAACTGATACATGGTGTAAATAACTGTTATTGATCAAGTACGATTTTCTTTGCATTTTCCCCTACAGCTTACCTGGTAATTTTGCAAGTGTCAAGTTGAGCCCCATTCTTTAGTTGTGAGGGACTGAAAGCAGAAATCTGTGTCAGGAAACACTCGGGGACAATTCCGTCAAGGGGCCAGCATAGGTTATTCCTGGTTTGATTTCTAGGGGAAAAAAGAAAAAACAAAAAACAAAAACAGTTGAGTAGGAATTTGAATACATAGTACTTTGACCTTCACTTAAAAAAAAAGAAAAACTAAATGCCTCTTGATTAAGAAAAGGCCTATTGTTTTGTTATGAACAACTGTGCCACGTAAGACTTGTCTATTTTTCTGTATTTTTTCCACCTGCCAGGAAGCATGGGACATTTCTGTGTATGCCTTCTCCATCCGAATGCTGCTGTGTGGCCCTGGGAAAGTTACTTAACATCTCTGTGACTCGGTGTTCTCCTCTCTGACATGAGAGTGGAAATAATCATACAACAGAACTGTGGCAAGAATTATGTGACATCGTCTATAGGAACCTGGGTCCAAGAGTGTTTTCAGGACACGTTAGCCTGTGTCTGGCCATACTGCTTCTGCTTCATCCTACCCCACCCCGTCGACCTGAAGCTCAGCACGTGTATTTAAATGCATCTCTGATGAGACTTATATGCAATTGGAGATTGTTAAAAGTTAGTTAAAAGATCTTGGACCGATGTATGTTAAGAGTTTTATAAACTCAACTACCTTCAGGACCCAGTCTTATAATCTCTGGGCTTCTAGTTCTGGCTTTACACTAACTAGCTGACTGACTTCATCATGTCACTTAAGCTTTTTCGAACTGGACTGAAGGCTCTAAAAAAAAAAAAAATCCCCGGTGGAACTCAGGTTTTTGTGGGCTTCTATGTTTTCTTCCAACATAGGTTCCCGTTCAGAATTTATCACTGCTTGAACCTTTATCTTGAAGTCCCTGTATTTCTCTATGATAACTGTTCTCCATCCAACCTCAAAGTCTGGCTAGGAGTGAATAATTAAATCGGCTTTGAGTGACTAGTTTTTGAAATTTTGGCTGAAACCTCAAATCTTTCTGAGCTTCAGATTCCTCACAGTCTTTTTTTGCTCACGATTGCCCAAGGTCGCATGTGCATGCAGCACATGTTAAATGGTGACAGTCCCCCCACTTCTCCTTTGGCAGTCTGCTCCGTGTCTGCTCCCCGTTTTCTGACTTCCCTCAGGTGTTGATCAAAGAGAGAAGAGATCCTGGGAACTGATTTGCAAAGTGTGCTGCTGAAGTCAGATGTCTTTTGGGAAGGATTCACTCTAAGGGAAGTCACGCTGTTTCTCATGAAATGAAACCGTGTGAGACTGTCATGCCTCCTAAGCAATACTGCTTATAAATACCACAAAGCTGCAGAGAGACCCCAAGTAACCTCATCCCCTCCAAGTCCAAAGTAATTTACTGGTTGCGTAAGCAGTTATGTCTGCTGGTCAGCAGGCTCAGAGTACTTTCAAAGCAAAAGCATATTGAAGAATTGGGCAGCCTGTGGAGAGGCATGTATTTCTTTGTCTGTTATTCTGGCCTTCTCTTCTGTTCCCTAGTGGCACATGACATTTGGATGCTGGATTTGATAGTAGATGGAAAAAGTGGTGTCCAAATGTTGAGTGATTTCCTCCCCACTATCAGTCATCTCTTGAGAGTTTAGACGCCCTGTCCATGTCTCACCTTGAATCATCAGGTTATATGGTACATAGTAGTCAAAAAGTGTTCATTGCTTTATGGATCATAGACAATAGACACCTTCTTAGACACCCTCCTTTTTGGGTGCCAGTGTTGCAGGCTTTTTAAAGTAAGGCAAGGAGGTGAAACCCTACTTTCTTTTATTAAAGTTTACTGGGGTTGAAGCAGTTTTCTAAACCTTTTAATAATGACCCTTAGATTTCAGTATACCTTATTTTCTTGAATTTAACTTCTCATGGAAATGTTTCAGGGGGTTTCCATGAAAGACATCCGTAATTTCATGTTCCTCTGTGGGAGAGTTATGTGGTTTTTCTCTTCTTGACTTCACTTAAACTTTACTTGATAACAAGAAATCCATTATGGCTTATCCCCACTGGAGGAAAAGCAGTATTTGGTGGGTGAGCCGCAGTTGCAGTAATAGATAAAAGACAGTTATGAGGGAGGACACTGAAAAGATTCTGGGGGAAAATATTTGCATATCACATTTATCTCTGATAAAGGATTAAATTCAGAATATACAAAGAACATTTACAACTTCCTAATAAACAGAAAACAGCCCAACTAAAAAGTGGTCTAAAGATTTGTATAGACATTTTATCAAGAACACATGAAAATATGCTCAGTATCTTTCGTCATTAGGGGGATTCAAATAAAAACCACAATGAGAGCTTTGCTGGTGGTCCAGAGGCTAAGATTCCACACTCCCAGTGCAGGGGACTCGGGTTCTATCCCTGGTCGGGGAACTAGATCCTGCATGCTGCAACTAAAGATCCTGTGTGCTGCAGCTGAGACCTGGAGTGATCTCAGTTTTTATATATACATAATATTCATAAATTTGTATATATTTATAAATACACAAATATTTCTTAAACACCCACACAATGAGATAACTATTTTACATCTACCTGGCTATAGAGTGGCTATAGATGAAAAAGATGGTAATAAGTATTGCCAAGTATATATTGTCACAACCTCATACATTGCTGGTGGTAATTTGAAATGATATGGCCACCTCAACAACAGTTTGGTAGATTCTTAGAAAGTTTAACCTACATTTATCTTACCCAATAATTCTACTTGTAGGTATCTACTCAAGACTAATGGAAACATAGACCTATGCAGAGACATATATGCAAATGTCTTTAATAGCATTATTCATAATAGCTAAGAATTGAAAGATTTGAATTAACCCAAATATCAGCTGATGAATGAATAAACCAAAGATAGTATATTCAACAGAATGCATAAACCAAAGTTGATATAGTCATAGAATGGTTAAAGCAAAGGTAGTGTGGTCAAAGAATGGAATATGACTCAGCAATAAAAAGGAGTGAAATTCAGCTATAAGATGGATGAATTAAAAAAACATTCTGCTAGGGAAAGAAGCCAGATACAAAAGACCACATACCATTTCAATGAAATGCCCAGAAGAGGCATATCTATAGAGGTGGAAAATAGGTTAGGGCTGAGGGTAGGAGTGGAGAGATTAGCTGTAAGGGGGTGAGGAATTTTATTAAGGTGAGAAAAACTGGATTATGATGGTGGTTTCACAACTCTATAAATTAATTAAAAATCATCAAATTGTACATTTAAAATGGATGAGAATTATTGTATGTAAATTATACCTGAATGAAATTAAAAAGGAACAGAGGGTACACAGAAAAGAAACAGAGGATAGCAATTCACTGTGCAATAATATGAGTTTTATAGACCAAGGAAAAGCACCTTATAAGCACATTCCTTATCATGTCTTGAAGAAGACAGTGAAATGCAAAGTATATTTAGCAGGAGTTCCACCCCTTAATGTAGGTGTGGGACATTGCTCAGTGATCTGGATGATTCATTTATGAGTTTCTTCTTTTAGAATTTGGTTCAGAATCTAGAGACCCTGGCTGTGGGTGGTGATTTGTAATTTGGGGGAATCATTTTCTTAATTCCCATTGAAATTATGTGAATGAGTTGGGTCTTAATTAGTACAGACATGATACATGGATTTTCTGGAATCAAATTTGTCTTCCAGGTTTGGGAGATACTTTATTCTCCTCAAGTGGCTTGTGAGAGTTTCCTTTTGCCACCTCCTTCTCTTTTACCACTTTCACTAGATGAATTACTCCCGCAAGTTTAGGTCATAGATCCTCAGTTTTTCTCAAGCGTGTTCATGTCTCGTTGGATGCTCAGCCACCACCTCTCTTCCGTAATCTTCCCGCCCTAAACTTCTGTTCATTATATCATCTGTGTTCCTCAGACTCAGCATCTCTAAACTTTAGCTTTTTTCCTTTCTTCACCAGAAGCCATTTTCCTTTCATCCCTCTTTTATGAGTATTTGCTTCAGCTCTTGGTCGAGAGAGTTTAAAACCTCAGTACTGAATGGGATCCTTCTCCGTTGGTCAGTCACTTATCTAGTTAGTCCTGGCACTTCTGTCATCACCTTGCTGCTCAGATCAAGGCCCTCCGAGCTTCATGTGTGGCCCTGTACTGACCTCCTCTCTGGTCTTTCTGCTGCTTGCTTCTCTCCTCTCAGATTCTTCTGCTGCTTTTTGTTAGATTCTTCTTTCTAAATTACCCATGTCATCATGCTCTCTCACCCTAAGTACAGTCTCATAGGAAACTTCTCAAATTACAGTGACGAACAATACATAAGGAGTTATTTGCTTAGTGTTGGAGATTATGGAATGTGGAAGCCAGAAGATGCTGGGTTCTGATAATTAAAAGGTGGCTCTCCACTTTAGGAGAAAACTTGTTCTATAATTAATCCTCTGAATCTGATGGCAATTGTACCTCCTCTATAGAATCATCATGAGGTTAAATCAGAATATATGTTTATAAATTGCATGCCTTGTAAATGGAGCTTTTGCTTGTGTTGTTGCCATTAATCCTTGCCTACATGAAATTGAAGACCATTTTCATTGATCAGGAATTCTTTGTGCTAGCTGTTTCCTCGCAGGGGCATGCCTTGCGTTTAACCCCCCGCCTGTCTTCATACTGACTCCTGCTCTTGAACGACCTCCTTTCTCCTCCTCTTTCCCTGTCTTGGGAGTCTCTACCTCCACATCAGTGTTAACCATAATCTGACCTTTTCTGTGAGGTTATTGTCCAAAAGTCTACTTTTAGACATGTTCCACACTCTGGGAATTATAAAGATGGAGGGTAAGTTTCTGCCCTCAAGGAATTTTGAATCTAGTTGAGGATCCAGAAGTAAACAGACCACAGAACACAGAGTCCGAGGGGGGAATGTTGTAGAAACCCAGCCGTGGTGGTGTCCCCTGATGAAAGCAGCAGCGGCCCAGGAGGCTCCGTGGAGCTTCGATGCCTGGGTTGGGGCTGGCTTGCCAGATGTGAGATGGGGAAGGAACATGTGGCAATGTTCAGCATGGCCCAGGATAACGTCACCTGCTAGGGAGGTGATGGCCTCAGGTGGCAGAGAGACGGGACAGGTTTGGGGCACACCGAGGAATGAGTGGCTGCTGACGCCGATGCCAAAGGAGGAGGGGTGTTGTGGCCTCCCAGTGTGAGGCGGTGGGTGTTGGTCTGTTTCACTGGCAGTAGGGCCCGTGAGAGGAGGAGCATGTGGAAGAAGGGGTGGACAGTTCAGATTTCCCTTTGTGGATTTCAGGATGCCCGTGTAGTATCCATGTGGAGATGTCTACTCAGGAACTGAAGTTGAGGTCTGGGGCCTGGAGAGGTGGCCCTGGCTGGTGGTGTACTCTTAAAGCTGGCAGAAGATCAGGGGTAGAAAAAGCAATGGGAATGGGTGCGATTGCCCACCATGACCCTGCCCGATAGACTGCGAGTAGCAGAGGGCTGCCTTTGAAGTTTTTCAGGAGCAATTCTCCAGAAAGGGGAGCGCCTGGAGGAGTGGTTAGAGAACTGGAAGGATTATCGGACAAGATTCATGTCCTGTGAACTGAGACTTGAGGTTACGAAATAAGCAGTTGTAACTAGTTTTATCCTGCAGGGAAGTCAAGAGGCCTAGGACAGCAGAGTGCCGTTGGATGGAGTTCAGTAACAGAGAGGTCACTGCTGGTCTTTGCCAGAGCTGCCTAAGTCACGCTGTGAGTGTGGGGGGCAGAGGCAGAGGGCTGAGACAACTCTTTCAAAAAAGAAAAACATGTCTGCCCTGGGAAGAAGAGAGTGGGAGGTAGAGATGGATGCAGGACGGTGGGCGTTTCTGCTAAGTTTCTCATTTAATGTCTTAACATTTTAAAGCATGTTCTTCCCTTGGCTTAAAAACAAGCGAGAAGCAAGTCTCGGCCCTAGAACGAGCCGGGTAGGTGGCAGTGTGGTGCCCGCCTAGGCTCTGTGAGTCTCCGCCTCTCCATCTGCGCAGTGTGTGCGTTGATGCATCCATTGTGGCGTGACTCCAAGGTTGACCTGAGAACACGCACGCAGCGCCTGGCACCGTGGTGCAGGGTGAGATCTGAGTCCCACAAGCCCCTGTCGCTTGTCGCAGGCACGCAGTGGAATGCAGTTGCTGACTGATGGGTTGGACGCAGGGTGAATGGAGGTCTCGCCACCTTGTTTGTGCTGAGCCTGTTGTGTGGTTTGTGGTTTCAGTCGCCCAGTGAGGAGGCCTTTGACTGAGCTCTTTGCTCCAGAAGCTTCATTTCAGTTGCCTCTGATCCTCAGCTGCCGGCTGTCTTTGTTCAGCAGCAGCATCGACATTCCTTAATCCCCACCCCCGTGCAGTCGGTCGCAGAGCATCTGTGCATACGTTGCACCTCCCAGCGCCTGCAGGGTGTTGCAATGAACGTTGCTTCAGCCGTGGTTATGGGCTTGGGTCCAGGGCCTTGCTGTCGGGCGGGAGCCCCGTCCTGCCACCTACGGCTCCCCAAGCTGAGAGGTGATGAAACCTCTCAAGAATGTAATGTCTGTGGCAGGTCTGGGTTTCACGGCCATTCCTGAGGTTGGATAGTATCGATGCTTAGAGACCTTCTGGCTTTTATCTGGCCAGCGATTGATATTTTGATTGTTTTCATAACCCTTGACTGTTTTCATAACGGTGTTAGGCTGTTGTCAGTTGTAAGCTGGCTTTTTAAGTGAATGAAATGAAATAGATGGACATGTCCGTCTGGAAAAGGATGCCCTAGAAAAGGGTGGATGTGTCCTCAGTGTCGCCTTGAACTTGGTGCTTGGTTTCTCCTGCAGCCCTCACAGTGGCCCGTGCCCTAGGCGTGTTTTATTCTCCTCTTCCTCCCCAGCCGGGACGATCTGAGGTTCAGACATATGAATTAATGTGCCCTGACAGAGCTAGTAATAGCTGGGATCAGGATTCCTACCAGATCTGATTGAAGCTGTATCCATGTTTCTTTCTGCTATCCTTCTCTAGAGTCCCAATGTGGAGCAATTTTCCATAGCTGGTATTGGAGGGTGGGAAGTGGGAGGGGGAAGATAAGGCAGAAGCACCATTTGTTTTCCCTGCTGAGGCCAAGAAGGAACTGCTGATCTTCTAACCTGGAGGTATAGTTTGGTTTGACCTGAACCATGTAGAAAGCATTGGGAAATTTCCCTCTTACCTTGAGAAAGATCTGCCCACAGCTGAATGTGAGGCGTCCAACAGCGTTTGCTGCCTCTTCCCTTTGGGAACCTGCTCTCTGGGTCACCAGCTCACAGCAGCCTCTCCTGACTTCCCTGGGCCTCCTCACTCGGGAGCTTTGCCTGCCTGGTCCTATAGACCCTGGCTTTCACAACTCCGGATTCAT